TTTGATGTCACTACTGCCCGCTCCGGCTAGTGGGTTAACAAGTATCTTTGGCAGGTTACATCACCACCACCAGATGTAGACCAAACTATGTATAACTGTTGCCATATGACTATTGTCACACATGCGCCATTATGTACTGGAGTGTGATAAAATTAATGAATATAGAAAACAACTCACTCAGACAGAGTTTCAAGAACGGCTGGGGGGAAAGTATTTTATCCACAGTGGTATATTGCCAGACCAATCTGGAGAAATTCCCTGACGTGTGACTAGCTGTAAATAAAGCTTTACCACGTTTGCATGTGTGTGTGTGTGTGTGTGTGTGTGTGGCGTGAGTTGAGGGTGTGTGTGAGGGTGTGTGTGTGTGTGTGTGTGGTGGTGTTGTGTGTGTGTGTGTGTGCGTGCGCGGTGTGTGGTTGTGTTTGTGCGTGATGTGGGTGTTGTGGTTTGTTTGTGTGTGTAGTGTGTGTGGGCGAGTTGAGGTTTGGTGTGTGAGGTGTGTGTTGGTGTTGGTGTGTGTGCTGTGTGGGTGTGTGTGTGTGGTGTGCGTCTTGGTGTGTCTGCATAAATTAGTACGCTCGTGTGCACAAGACCGTGCGTGAGCCCTCGTGAGTGTATTGCGCGCGCGCGCTAAAGTGATGGGTTTATGATCCAACTTAATATTTGTATTTATAAATCCATTACAATTGTGCCAGGTGGTGGACTGTATCAGTGATCATTACTTTGTAATTTGTTCATGACTGAACCATGTATAGGAGTGAAGCCTGATTCATTACCTACGTGTAATTGCCATGATTAGTGACCAGATCTACCTGGGAGTTCATTACCTTTTGTAACTAGTTCAATCTATCTATAACTTTGGGTCCAGTAATGGCCCAAATGTAGCCTTTGTAATCTTTGACTACCCGCCCACAGATGGGTATGGGGTGCCATAAAGACATTAAACTAAAGTGTGTTTTGGTGTGGTTTGGTGTGTGTGTGTGGTGTGTGTGTGTGTGTGTGAGTGTGTGTGTGTGTGTGTGTGTGTGGTTTGTGTGTGGTGTGGTGAGACTCAACAAACAAATATTGCACCAAATAACTCATTACCGTTTGTGGCCGGGTGTGGAGTGTGAATTGCTCATTACACTATACTTTGTTCATGGATTGTATCCAAAGTATAAACTAAAGTAACCAATACTACAAGAATTCATTACCTTTGTAACATGGTGTGCCATTGCCTTTGTAACTATTTCACGCTATCAAAACTTTGGGGGCCCATCCCTGGACCATTACGTACCTCTCTGTAATCCTGTAAATGACCTTTGTAACTTGTCAAGATTGAGACCAGACTTAACCTGGAGTGTTCATTACCATTGAAAATGTGAGTTTTCATTACCTTTGTAAATTGTGAAGTTCATTACCTTTGTAAAGTTGTGAGTCATTACCTTTGTAAATTGTGAGTTTCACATCATTACCTTTGTAAATATGTGAGTTTCCATTACCTTTGAAATTGTGATTCATTGCCTCTGTTAAGCTTTGCTCAGCTATCAAAACTTTGGAGTCAGTCCCAGACCAATTATGTACCTCTAGTAATCTTATTGACTACCGCCCACAATGGGGTATGGGTGGCATAATAAACAAATTGAAACTTAACTAACTTCTTACCACACCAGACGGCCCCTAGGGAACTCATGGATTGGGGAAAAACCGCAGCACACCACCTGCCCACCTAGAAACCGTAATGCCCAGAGTGGTAGGACTCCCATATGCTACAATAGAAGGGGAAAAAGGGAGGGTAGGAGATGGGGAGGCGAAGGAAAAAAAGGGGTATGGAGAGGAAGGATTGGAAGGGAGGAAAAGGGAGGTACTTAGACTCGGTGTAAGGAATGAGACCCAAATGATTAGATTTCTTTCTTAGACCAAGACCCTTCGCCACGACCAAGGAGTCCCCCTTGAGGGGAAAAGATGAGGTAAATCATTCCCCTCATCCCTTGGGAGTTGATGAAGAGCCCATAGTATATGAAGAATTCCGGAGCACAGGCAAGAAGAGGTGGCACTAATAAAGTCTATCGAGGGGAATCCCCAACCAGAGACCATGTACTCATCTGCAACCTTGTTCCCCACCCCCCTTCCACCTGATACCAGTCTTTAAAGAAGCAGTCTTATTGGCCTGTTGCTCCAGATCATCACGACTTCGGTGCTCTTTCACACCAACTCATTTTATGTATAAAGATTCTACTATCTAAAAATTCATCATCTATTGACTTTTGTAATGAAAAAGCCACGGATGGCGAAAGATACCCAGATGTTGCACATGTGATAAATGTCTTCTCTGATTAGGGTGTGAGGGGTCTATGTTTCCCCTAATAGGACAGGCATAAGGGAGATTCAATATGAAAGAATTAATGACATTTTTACCGTCAATTTAGTTTAGGTCTCATGTGGTGAAAGCACAGGGTACCCGACAGGCCAAACCCTGATCCGTGGCCACAGAACAGCAGTAATAAAATTGATCATCTTCGAGATTTCAACGGTACAATTTAGGATTGTGGACGCGTGTCAGGACGAGATTCCTGACGTAACAGGAGAGTCCAAGTCTGACTAAAACGTCGTTGTAAGTTTTTTAATGTACCCACTTCCCCCCCCCCCTCGCCTATGAGCGGGCTATTTTGTGATAATTGAAGGATTATAGAAATAAAAATGAACTCAGTAGTGTGAAGTGGGTACATTTAAGTGTTTATGAAAACAAGGATAGAGATAGAGATGAGAGAGTAGATATAGAGAGAGATGGGAGAGAGAGATAGAGGATGGAGGATTAGAGATGAGATAGAGATGGAGATAGAGAGGAGATAAGATGGAGATAGAGATGGAGATAGAGATGGAGATAGAGATGGAGATATAGATGAGATAGAGATGAGAAGAGAAAGAGATAGAGATGGAGATAGAGAGGAGATAGTAGATGGAGATAGAGATGAGATAGAATGGAGATAGAGATGGAGATAGAGGATGGAGATAGAGATGGAGATAGAGATGGAATAGAGATAGAGAGATAGATATAGAGATAGATATAGAGATAGATAGATAGAGATAAGATAGAGAGATAGAGATATAGATAGATATATAGAATATAGATATAGAGATAGATTAGAGAATAGAGAGATAGAGAGATAGAGAAAAGAGAAAAAAAGTAAAATTAGAGAGATAGAAGATAGATAGAGGATAGATATAGGGATAGATATACAGATAGATATAGAGATAGATATAGAGATAGATATAGAGATAGATATAGAGATAGATATAGAGATAGATATAGAGATAGATATAGAGATAGATATATAGATATAGATAGATATAGAGATAGATATAGAGATAGATATAGATAGATATATAGATATAGATAGATATAGAGATAGATATAGATAGAGATAGATATAGAGATAGATATAGAGATAGATATAGAGATAGATAGATATAGATATAGAGATAGAGATATATAGATATAGATATAGAGATAGATATAGAGATAGATATAGAGATAGATAGATATAGATATAGAGATAGAGATAGATAGATATAGATATAGAGATAGATATAGAGATAGATATAGAGATAGATATAGAGGTAGATATAGAGATAGATATAGAGATAGATATAGAGATAGAGATAGATTTTGGGAGATGTTAAGTGTTTAGGGAGTCTTAAATCGAGTGAGATTAATTGTGGTAGTGAACCTGAATGCTAATGTGAAGAAACGATGGAACAAGGACTAGTAAGTTTGGGATGTCATGGGTAAGTAATAAAGATGGGCCTTTGATTGAATTTTGTATAGGAAGAGGTTAGGTAATAGGTAATACGTACATATTGTAAGAAAAATAGAGTAAGTATACGAGATATGATATAGGGCATAATTAATAATGGAAATAGGTTAAATGTTATGAGGTGTTAAGTCACCTAACCGCAGTATCCTGTGAGATTAACTTGGCCAACACTTTCGAAATTCAAAAACTTGCGTTTTAAATATTTATTTTGCAAAGATTGACGAGATATATTACGATTGATTTTAGGAAAGTGTCAGTTGAGGTCCTCCTTTACGATGAGTTTTGTTTTGTGCAAGTTAATAATTCATCAGTGCTTGTGTGTATGTTATGTTAACATTGTTGCCAATGCTCATTTATATTCATTATTTTTTGTTTCCCTGTCATTTAGACTTTGTCGTAGGTGTTGTTAGACGTCTTGCGACTTGTACTAATATTGGTAGAATTACCGACAATGTTAATAAAAGGACACAAATGCTAACTCTCAGGGGTTAAAAATCCAAACGAAATCATATCTTAACTAATGTGACATTTTATTGTGGCAACGTTTCGCTCTCCAGGAGCTTTGTCAAGCCTTTACGGTTTGATAAAGCTCCTGTGTCTTTTTACTTAACGTCTTGTGAGCTCAATAATGGTGGTGCAGAAGGTAGTAGCAACTCGAGGATCCCCAGCTGGGAACATCTTGAAGTTTTTATCTACAGTGTAGTTTGGAAACTGGGAAATCAACTAGATGTCTCATATTCGTTACAAAAAAAAAGAAAAAAATATATATATAACGCTTCGCCTCAGCGTTGACAATCGTAAATGAAATGGAAATGTAGGTTCAGCAGATGTCCCGTGTGGAGGAAGCTGTACACAAATAACCGGCACATAGGAGAGAGGAGCTTACGATGTTGTTTCGGTCCGACTTGGACCATTTACAGTTTTTACACAGTCACACAGTTCTATGTGCGGATTATTTGTCTACTCCAGTCACTGTATTGTGCCTTTATTTATTTTTAAGAAAGCTAGCTGGATAAAAATTACATTCCACCTCAAAATATTCACTGCAAAAATTATGGTGTTAGTAACACATTAAGTCATCCTTGTTTACTGGATTACGATTCACTTTAAAAATAAGTGAGTCGCCTGATGGCAAAAAGTTATAACGATACTAATTGGACATAATCACAATGGCATTTTCTTAATGGTATTTTTCTTCCGTAGGTAACACAGTGCTACACTTGGCTGCTCGAAAAGGAACGTCAACAATGATCGAAATTCTGCTGCTGTATTGTCCAGACATGACTCTTCGAACTACCAAGTAAGTACTTAATATCTGCATCACACTTGTGTTTTTAAATATTAGTAAGCTTATAAATATAAATTATATGCATAGGTTAAATGCAATCACAACCATAATTTTTAAAGGGGTGGAACGGTATGCCAGCGGAAGGCCTCGGTCAGATGACCAAAAGCTCCAGCTGTGGGTCATCGCATAACTAAAGTTTGTCAAGAAACACTTGTCCTGTTTCCTGACAAACCTGACCTGACCTGACCTAACTTGCATCTTACATCATACTAGTGCATAAACAGTCAATTTGCAAATATAAATAATAACTTTAAATATAAACAATCCAAACACGAATATCTAAAAGGTTTAAAGTTGTAAGAGAAAAAACACAGTAGAACACATAATTGTAAATATGAGAAATACGAGAGTGAAAAAATTACCAGACCAGAAACACTTAATAGTTTACATGAGATTACAAACATGTCTCTAGTGATGTGTGTTAGCCTTCTGTGTGGTTTTCTATTTTGTTTTTTTCAATATGTTGGATTTAATTTATTCTCCAAGAAAATTTTCTAATGTTAGTCCTCATCATATGATTACCCGGCCAGTGGTTAATTACCTGGCCAGTGGTTAATTACCCGGCCAGTGGTTAATTACCTGGCCAGTGGTTAATTACCCGGCCAGTGGTTAATTACCCGCCAGTGGTTAATTACCCGCCAGTGTTATTACCCGCCAGTGGTTAATTACCCGGCCAGTGTTAATTACCCGCCAGTGGTTAATTACCCGCCAGTGGTTAATTACCTGGCCAGTGGTTAATTACCTGGCCAGTGGTTAATTACCTGGCCAGTGGTTAATTACCTGGCCAGTGGTTAATTACCCGGCCAGTGGTTAATTACCCGGCCAGTGGTTAATTACCCGGCCAGTGGTTAATTACCCGGCCAGTGGTTAATTACCCCGGCCAGTGGTTAATTACCCGGCCATGGTTAATTACCCGGGCCCGTGTTAATTACCCGCCAGTGTTAATTACCCGGCCATGGTTAATTACCTGGCCAGTGGTTAATTACCTGGCCAGTGGTTAATTACCCGGCCAGTGGTTAATTACCTGGCCAGTGGTTAATTACCCGGCCAGTGGTTAATTACCCGGCCAGTGGTTAATTACCCGGCCAGTGGTTAATTACCTGGCCAGTGGTTAATTAAGAGAATTTTGAAATCTGTCAGTGGTTCACAGACTGAGACTTGGGGTCAGAGGAACGTCACATAAAATATCCTTATTAATGTGACGTTTCGCTCACCTGAACCTTTCTTACTCAATGGGAAGACTACAAGAGCGCAGACTTATGTTGTGGAATGAGAGATGTGGTCGTACTAGTTACGTTGTGACTTGCAATAAGTTAGAAGTTAGAGAGTATTAAAGCTTAGACTGGGCTCGCTAGTGATGTAATATTTGATCGCTGTGTCTTCATGTTTCAAGATTAATCGAGCCAGAATTTTATAAATATTACAAGTGATTAAATAATGCATAATAACAAGACTAAACTGAGGCGACAACTGCACCACAAATGTTAGAGAAGACATTTTTTACTGGCGTAAGACGCTAGGTTAGACTTCCAACCACAGTCCCACTACAGTCCCACTACAGTCCCACTACAGTCCCACTACAGTCCCACTACAGTCCCACTACAGTCCCACCACAGTCCCACCACAGTCCCACTACAGTCAAGAAATACTTCAACAAACACTTCGAAAATCGGGATTTTCTTGAAGAAGAGGGACCTACCGTGGCTACTGCCATCTGTAATAATAATAATAATAATAATAATCTTGATTTCTACATGTATATGATACAACTCATACAGACCATAACTGACATCAGTGACATACTATAAGCAAAGTCCTTTGTTATGCAGAGCATTTCTGGCGACTTAGGTAAATTGTGTCCCCCCAGGATTTGACCCACACCAGCCGACAAACACCCAGGTACCTACTTGTTGCTAGGTGATTAGGGACAGCAGGTGTCTTAAGGAAACACGTCCTAATGTTTCTACCCGTACCGGGGATCGAACCACGGAACCTCAACGTGCAAGCTAAGTGCGCTATCAACCATGCTATGGTTGACCTACCAAGGTGTCAGTAGACCACAACCTAACAAAAGCACAGTAACAGTGGTAACATTATTACTAGCAAAAGTGGAAATCTTAACTATTTCTCGGTACATTGTTAGGCACTTCAAACACTGTTTCAGGGCTGGTGTTGTTTCTGCCACTGACAACAGTTATACATTGGGAAGACGACTTGACTCTCTTGCTCTCTTAATCTCATCTATCAAGATAGAATTAGTTATCTCAATTGCAAATATTCCTCTGTATAATGTAGATTGGTAGGACTACTTCAGTCTTTCTTTCCATAACTACCATTCTCTGTCTCCCTGTCTTTTATCAACTCTCCTTCCCTTGTCTCTCCTGCTGTCTAATTAACCTCTATCCTCTCATTTTTCCGTCTCTGTCTCTACTTATTACTTGTTCTGCTTCCCTTGTATCTCCCTGCATACAGTAAAACATAATATCTGGGCTGTCCCCTGCAGGAAAGAGGCCAGCTGACATAGCCAGGGAGAGTGGGATGGTAGTGCTAGCGACCATCATGCAAGGTAAGATGAATTACCATTGTCATACCATGAAACGGGTGGGATTTGAACCCATGGCGAGTGAGTCCTAGAACTCGGTCAGTATGTAAGCCACTGGGCCAGTTGGCTATTGTAAGGTTCATCGAGCTAGGTATATTTTTATACATCATAGGGAGGTTAGCATGGGCCACCACTGTAACCACAGATGCAAGATTTTATATATAAATCTCCCGTCAGAGTGACCGTGACGAGCTCCAGCTCAAGTCTCTTCAAAGCCATCATCATGACGCAAGAATTTGTAATGACACGATTGTAAACAAACCACGGAACGGGAGGTGGTTTGTTTGCAGTCGTGTTAGTTTCCTAGAAATTTGCTCCATTTTACAGAGATAAAGACAGCAAAACAGCATAATGGTCAACTTTTTTGTAAAAACAAACTGTGGAAAGTTAACCATAGTGATAATGAACAAATTATAGATAGAGAGCTACTGCCAAAATAACCTTTGGTGCCTGTGAAGGCCACTTTCAACCTGCCATTAACATGACATTTTCGATAATATTCCCACCAGTGTTAACCACATCATGATGATATAAGTACACCATAGTTTTGATAGTCAACAATTCTAACAAAATTACTAATAACAGGAAATGATGTTCACTTCTTACAGCAGTCATGTTAAATATTTACAGTATTATTGTTTGTTGGTATTAGTACACATTGACTTAATGATTATAGTAATTATAACTATGGACGTCGTGGTTGTTCACTGATGATCCAAAGGTTAAGAAACATGATAAATATTATCTGAAGTTTAAGTCGAAAATTGTTACTCATTTTTCACGTTGGATTGAAAAGTTTTTAGAACTGCTTACCTGGGGTATACCTGGGGTATACCTTGGGTATACCTGGGGTATACCTGGAGAGGGCTTCGAGTTACATACAGATAAACAATATATACAAACAACTGAAAAAAAAACTTCTTGACTAGCTCAGAAAAGCATATTAGTATACAAACAGAATCAAACACAGAATTTTTTTTAATACACAAACCATGACATGCTCAGAAAAATGCCGCTACACATGACAGGTTCCTTCACAGTAACAATGTTGTATATTCAGGACCTACTTGTTTGCATTAGCAATGATGTGATGCGCTGCTTCCCTTGTCTGAGACATAATTGTCAGCTGTGGGACACATTTTGTAGGGTCTGTCTAAGCCAGTTCAGCAAGAAATGGGAAGCTTTACGTAGCCTTTAACAAGTGAAACCAGCAAAATCCACCATGAAAGACTGGTAAGTGAATGTATTGTTGGAGGAAGTTCTTCCATAGATGGACGTTTCTTAATAACTCACAACAAGTGTGGAGAAATTTTCTCCAGGAGGGGGGTATCAGCCCCCTTCAGCCCCTTCAGCCCCTTTCAGCCCTGAGGGGCCCAGCCCTCTCAGAAGGGGCAAATATCTTGTTTACTGCTACAGCGAGTAATTGATCCCAGATGCAGTACCAGTATACGACCTGTGGTCAAGCGACCGCCGCTCCTTGCACCAGTGTTGCAGAGTGTAATTTAATAAGAGACAGTACATCTCTTACCTTAGCAGGACAATTAAGGAAAATCCTGCTCCCACTTTATTACCATAGTAAAGATAGTGTACATTGTTGTCTATGCTTAAGACAGCAAGAAACAAACATTCTGCTTTGCTTCATCGAGGAAGTGGCAAGGAAGCAAAAGTGCTAGGTTAGCTTTTCCTTTGAGCTGGGGGCAGTGACGGCGTGGGGCGCTGTGGCGTCTTCAGATTACTTTTGACTCTATTGAGAGTGACACTGACGCCAGGATAACCAACAAAGAACGATCTGTGTGTTAGTGTGAACAAAGTGTCTCATAAAATACAATAAACACTTAAGAGAAGTGTGATCAGCTTCTTTATTGATAAGATTGTGAACAATAAAGACAAATCTTGTGGAACATAGTGTACCAGTGTGCGTATTCCTAGACTATGGAAGACGTGGACATCCAAGGACACTTCAGTTTCTATCAAGTCACCGATACCTGTTGAAGGTGTGAAGAACACCATAGCTCACGCTACAAGAGCAAGGTAGGTTACGAATTTCTTGTACGGGGGACTGCGCAGTTCTTGAGTCGCAAGGAGTTTGTAATCAACCTATAGTCGGCAGTAAGGGGCGGACTTTTGAGTCCACACAAGTAAGTTTGTCTTTATTGTTCACAATCTTATCACTAAAGAAGCTGATCACACTTCTCTTAAGTGTTTATTGTGTTTTATGAGACACTTTGTTCACACTAACGCACAGATCGTTCTTTGTTGGTTATCCTGGCGTCAGTGTCACTCTCAGTAGAGTCAAAAGAAATCTGAAGATGCCACAGCGCCCCACGCCGTCATTGCCCCAAGCACAAAGGAAAAGCTGACCTAGTACCTTTGCTTCCTTGCCACTTCCTCGATGAAGCAAAGCAGAATGTTTGTGTCTTGCTGTCTTAAGCATAGACAACAATGTACACTATCTTTACTATGGTAATAAAGTGGGAGCAGGATTTTCCTTAATTGTCCTGCTAAGGTAAGAGATGTACTGTCTCTTATTAAACTACACTCTGCAACACTGGTGCAAGGAGCGGCGGTCGCTTGACCACAGGTCGTATACTGGTACTGCATCTGGGATCAATTACTCACTGTAGCAGTAAACAAGATATTTGCCCCTTCTGAGAGGGCTGGGCCCCTCAGGGCTGAACGGGGCTGAAGGGGGCTGATACCCCCCTCCTGGAGAAAATTTCTCCACAACAAGTCTCAGCATCAAACAAGGTTTACCAAGGGATTACCAATAGATCCCTGGCTGTCTTGAAGAAGGCACTGGACAGGCACCTGAAGTCAGTACCTGACCAGCTGAACTGTGGTTCGTACGTCAGTTTCCGTGCGACCAGCAGTAACAGCCTGGTTGATCAGACCCTGATCCGCCATGAGGCCTGGTCTCAGACCGAGCCGCGGGGGCGTTGACCCCCGAAACCCTCTCCAGGTAAACTCCAGGTATGACTACAAGACTGTACATTCTCCAAAAATCCCAAAATTTTCACTATTAAATAGACTGATGCATCAGCGCTAAATAATTGAATCCAATCACAAACGTTCTCGCGTCATCGATGTGAAATTATGTAAAAAATATAAACGTAAAACAAAATCCGGGAACCTGTATGTGAATCCTGTCCGACTCTGAGGTTCCATTGTCGCCCTTAACAAAAAATAATCTGTATAATACCTTTAAAAATGTCTTTCTGATCTGCTTCTGTTCCTGAGTCTTTGGAAACTTCTGGGGATTGAAATGTTTTGCGTGAACAATGGGAAATTTACTCAGAATCGTACTGAATTAAGTCGCAGCAACGGGGTTTAAGGAAACTTTTAATCTAAGTATCGTGAGCATCTTAGGAACACTGCGACTAGTAAGTTTATTCAGGTATACACAAATACAGCTACGTAGATTATCATACATAGTAGCATATGTGTAGAGAACCATCCAGGATAACCCAAAAAAGTCAGTGTAACTTATTTCCATTATTCTGGCCACAAACTTGCATGTTATTCTTGAGTGTAAGCAACAAGTGTAACAACATTTCAATCCTAGTAGCATGGCCACTCCAAAACGTTTCCAGTAAAGATTTTTGTAGAATATGCACTTATGCTCTTTCATCCTTACTGGATTGAGCTTCAGCTCCTGGGCCTCGTGAAGGTTGTTTAGCTTGATGTTTTCAAATTTCACCTTCAGATTGGCCTTAAATATTCCCAGTGTTGAACTGGGTTGTGCTGCAGCTTGTACGTTTCTTTAGGGTATTAAATTGCGTCTCTTATTGTCACTTGTTACTGTAGTGATTCTGTTGGTTGACCAACTCTCTTACCGGAGACTGGCTGACTCTTATCTTATCTTAAAAATAATGACATAATTCTTTATCCGATTAATCTGTATTGCATTGGAGATTAACCTGTTGAGCTCCAGCTGCTGGGCCTCTAAGAATATTGAGTTAGGTTCTGGGACACTTGAGTGTGTTGGGAAACTTCTGTTGGGACTCTTAGACATTCTTGTGGATGTATTAACTTATATTTTGTGATTATATTGATTTTTGTTTCTTTTTATCCCTCTGTGTGTGTGTGTGTGTGGGTGTGTGTGTGTGTGTGTGTGTGTGTGTGTGTGTGTGTGTGTGTGTGTGTGTGTGTGTGTGTGAGGCAGGTCAGAGGTCGACACCATGTGTGGTGGAGGGCACTGAGTGCCAGACTGAGGGAGGGTCGGGCGTGGCACCCTTGCGTCTCCTTACATGCAGCAACACCACCTGGAGAACACCGGCACCAGTGCCACCTACCTCAACAACACTTGGTAATGTTGAGCTCTAGTTCATGTTATGTGTAGCTGCTGAACTAATCCGTTCATTTATTAAGAAAACGAAGAAAAAAAATGAAAGTTGAAGGAGTAATAGTCAACGAGGGTGAGAATATGTTTCTTTAAACCACAATAAACCTCAATAAACCTCAATAAACCTCAATAAACCTCAATAAACCACAATAAATCACAATAAACCTATGGAACAGAACATTAAACTCAGTCATATGTGATGAATAATAGTGAACCTGATGAATAATAGTGAACATGATGAAAAACAGTGAACCTGATGAATAATAGTGAACATGATGAATAATATTGAACCTGATGAATAATAGTGAACCTGATGAATAATAGTGTTCCTGATGAATAATAGTGAACCTGATGAAAAACAGTGAACCTGATGAAAAACAGTGAACCTGATGAATAATAGTGAACATGATGAATAATATTGAACCTGATGAAGAACAGTGAACCTGATGAATAATAGTGTTCCTGATGAATAATAGTGAACCTGATGAAAAACAGTGAACCTGATGAATAATAGTGAACATGATGAATAATAGTGAATCTGATGAATAATAGTGAACCTGATGAATAACAGTGAACCTGATGAATAACAGTGAACCTGATGAATAATAGTGTTCCTGATGAATAATAGTGAACCTGATGAAAAACAGTGAACCTGATGAATAACAGTGAACCTGATGAATAATAGTGTTCCTGATGAATAATAGTGAACCTGATGAATAACAGTGAACCTGATGAATAACAGTGAACCTGATGAATAACAGTGAACCTGATGAATAATAGTGTTCCTGATGAATAATAGTGAACCTGATGAAAAACAGTGAACCTGATGAATAACAGTGAACCTGATGAATAACAGTGAACCTGATGAATAATAGTGTTCCTGATGAATAATAGTGAACCTGATGAATAACAGTGAACCTGATGAATAACAGTGAATCTGATGAATAATAGTGTTCCTGATGAATAATAGTGAACCTGATGAATGATAGTGAACCTGATGAATAATAGTGTACCTGATGAATAATAGTGAATCTGATGAATAATAGTGAACCTGATGAATAATAGTGAACCTGATGAATAATAGTGTACCTGATGAATAATAGTGAACCTGATGAAAAATAGTGTACCTGATGAATAATAGTGAACCTGATGAATAACAGTGAACCTGATGAATAACAGTGAACCTGATGAATAATAGTGTACCTGATGAATAATAGTGTACCTGATGAATAATAGTGAACCTGATGAATAACAGTGAACCTGATGAATAACAGTGAACCTAAGATCAGATATTTGGTGATTTTCTCTATAATATAAATTTTTGGTTCCTTTAAATAATTAACAAATTTAAAAATACCAGTAAATATTTTGTTGATGATGGTCAGTAAAGTTTGTGGGAGAAATATAATAACAGAAACACCAAGTGATTTATATCCATTTTTATATTTGTTGGCAATAAACATCTGACGTCATCCAAACATCTGCACCATTAAACATCTGACGTCATCCAAACATCTGCACCATTAAACATCTGACGTCATCCAAACATCTGCACCATTAAACATCTGACGTCATCCAAACATCTGCACCATTAAACATCTGACGTCATCCAAACATCTGCACCATTAAACATCTGACGTCATCCAAACATCTGCACCATTAAACATCTGACGTCATCCAAACATCTGCACCATTAAACATCTGACGTCATCCAAACATCTGCACCATTAAACATGTGAAGTCATCCAAACATCTGCACCATTAAACATGTGAAGTCATCCAAACATCTGCACCATTAAACATGTAAAGTCATCCAAACATCTGCACCATTAAACATGTGAAGTCATCCAAACAGCTACACCATTAAACATGTGAAGTCATCCAAACAGCTACACCATTAAACATGTGAAGTCATCCATACAGCTACACCATTAAACATGTGAAGTCATCCAAACAGCTACACCATTAAACATGTGAAGTCATCCAAACAGCTACACCATTAAACATGTGAAGTCATCCATACAGCTACACCATTAAACATGTGAAGTCATCCAAACAGCTACACCATTAAACATGTGAAGTCATCCATACAGCTGCACCATTAAACTTGTGAAGTCATCCATACAGCTACACCATTAAACTTGTGAAGTCATCCATACAGCTACACCATTAAACATGTGAAGTCATCCATACAGCTACACCATTAAACATGTGAAGTCATCCAAACAGCTGCACCATTAAACATATGAAGTCATCCATACAGCTACACCATTAAACATATGAAGTCATCCGAACATCTACACCATTAAACATATGAAGTCATCCATACAGCTACACCATTAAACATATGAAGTCATCCAAACAGCTGCACCATTAAACATATGAAGTCATCCATACAGCTACACCATTAAACATGTGAAGTCATCTAAACAGCTGCACCATTAAACATATGAAGTCATCCATACAGCTACACCATTAAACATGTGAAGTCATCCAACCATCTGCACCATTAAACATCTGACGTCATGCAAACATCTACACCATTAAACATGTGAAGCCATCCAAACATCTACACTATAAAACATGTGAAGTCATCCAAACATCTACACCATTAAACATGTGAAGCCATCCAAACATCTACACTATAAAACATGTGAAGTCATCCAAACAGCTACACCATTAAACATGTGAAGCCATCCAAACATCTACACCATTAAACATGTGAAGCCATCCAAACATCTACACCATTAAACATGTGAAGCCATCCAAACATCTACACTATAAAACATGTGAAGCCATCCAAACATCTACACTATAAAACATGTGAAGCCATCCAAACATCTACACTATAAAACATGTGAAGTCATCCATACAGCTACACCATTAAACATGTGAAGTCATCCATACAGCTACACCATTAAACATGTGAAGTCATCCAAACATCTACACCATTAAACATGTGAAGCCATCCAAACATCTGCACCATTTAGATTCATACAAAGAATTCTGTTCAGCATCCGGGCTTCAAAAGAATTCATTTCATTCCCAATAATTACAACAGGCTGGTTGATCAGACCCTGACCCACCATGAGACCTGGTCTCAGACCGGGCCGCGGGGGCGTTGACCCCCGGAACCCTCTCCAGGTAAACTCCAGGTCCCCCCCATTGATCAGCATCTGCAGCTGTTTAGACATTACTTTAACAACATGTACGGTATCTGGAGTTTACCTGGAGAGAGTTCCGGGGGTCAACGCCCCCGCGGCCCGGTCTGTGACCAGGCCTCCTTAGGTCAGTGTCCCAGGATGCAACCCACACCAGTCGACTAACACCCAGGTACCCATTTTACTGATGGGGAACATAGACAACAGGTTGAAAGAAACACGTCCAATGTTTCTACTCTGGCTGGGAATCGAACCCAGGCCCTCACCGTGTGAAGCGAAAGCGTTAACCACCAGGCCACCAGAGCCCCCGGTAGTGGAATCTGTCCTATTATCTACCTCAGTGATGGAGGCAAACATAGAAGTTAGAAGGTATTATACCAGGAAAAGCTCTCGCTTCACGTGGTGAGTGTCCATGTTCGATTCCCGGCGAAGGGTGGAAACATCGGACGTGATTTCTTACACTGGTTGTCTATGTTCACGCATCAGTAAAATTGGTACCTGGGTGTTAGTCGACTGGTGTGCGTCGCATCCTGGGTGTTAGTCGACTGGTGTGGGTTGCATCCTGGGTGTTAGTGGACTGGTGTGGGTCGCATCCTGGGTGTTAGTCGACTGGTGTGGGTCGCATCCTGGGTGTTAGTGGACTGGTGTGGGTCGCATCCTGGGTGTTAGTGGACTGGTGTGGGTCGCATCCTGGGTGTTAGTGGACAGGTGTGGGTCGCATCCTGGGTGTTAGTGGACTGGTGTGGGTCGCATCCTGGGACAAAACTGGCCTAATTTGCGGGAAATATTCATCATTTCCTGCGGCTTTCTATATAGTAGTATATCACTGATGTCAGCTATGGTCTGTATACCTTGTAGTATTATTATCAACAGACATAATTAGGAAGAACGAGGAGGAAGCACTGTGGCATTTTACCTGGAAAGGGAGTTGGAGATGAATGGTTGTCCAGGACAACTGGTATAAATTGTTGGTGTACAAACACTGTGAAGATAATCCAGCATCATTCATTGACAACTGAGACCAATATTGACACTGTGTAAATAATGGGATTCACTTGTCTAGGGCAGGTGTGGGTGTTCTCGCTAGTTCAGTTATGGGTTTTATTAGGGTTTTAAATTAGGTTTAGTTAGAATTATGGGTTTTAGCAGGGAGAAAATGGATTGTCAAATATTGATTTAGGTTTTAGATCATGAATTATAGTAACAATGATCAAGTAACACTGAGTAAAGAAGGTGACAGAAATTGTGGTGTTGCAAAGATGATGAGAGGAAAAGTGCAGAAGAAATAACATCTTACCATATATTTTTATACTGATGAAAATTAATGGACTGTGTTTGATAGTGTGTGGGGATAACACTGAGGTAAAACAGTAGCACAGGCGGGGTTAGAACCCGCGATCAGAGAGTCACAGTGGTGCCTGTGCTAACCTTCCTATGGTGTATACATAGTTGGATAAATCTTACTGAAGCTAGCTGGTCCGGTGGCTAACGCGACGGTCTGGAGTTTTGAGACACTCTGATCGCGGGTTCTACCCCTCCCGTGGTATGGTTTGTTTGCAATCGTGTCATTATGATTTTGAGTCAGTTAACATTGATATTGCAATAACGCAAACATGGTATAGTTTACTGATTTGGGATAGGATTAATGAATGCTATATTTAAAGGTTTAAGTTCCATGTTGATAGAAACACCGGGAAGTTGATTGGAGTAGTTAGATGTACAATATAATTTGAATTGTTGCATAAAAACTGGTAAAAATCGATGGATTAGAATTTCTAGGACAGGAAAATTTATTTTGGTGCTAGATACCAACCCCTGAACTTAGTGAAAGACGGAGACATCTTTGTAACGAAATTGTTAGGGCTTCTAATGTAGTAATAGTGAGGTATTGTAACTTTGGTCAAATAGTCTAGACTACTTTGACAGAAAATTTAGAGTAGAGTGACCTGCTGGAAATAGTTCAGGACTGCTTTCTGGAAGTTTGTAACGTAACCTACCTATGGTAATCTGCTAGAACTGTTTTTTCTAATAATAATAATCTTGATTTCTAGCAGTACATGTACAAGGTATACAGACCATAGCTGACATCAGTGACATACGATTATATAGAAAGTTACTTGTTATGGTGAGCATTTTCCGCAAATTAGGTCAGTTTTGTCCCAGGATGCGACCCACACCAGTCCACTAACACCCAGGTACCCATTTTATACTGATGGGTGAACAGGGACAGCAGGTGTCTTATGGAAACACGTCCCTAATGTTTCCCAGCTGTACCGGGGATTCGAACTCCGAACCTCAGTGTGTGAGCTGACTTCACTAGCGATCCAGTTACGGGACACACCATATAAGTCAACCCTCGTTAATAATCTAGAGATCAATGAAGAGCCTGGCACAAGTGATCACAAATCTATCACCTTTAATAATACCTGGGAATATGAAAATAAATATTATACTGTAAAATACACTATTTTCGTTCAGCCGATTGTAATGGATTTAGGGAACACTTGTTTAGTCTTGACTGGGGACATTAGTCTGAGAACACCACTGAACATCAGGAGGATTTGGACAAAGTAATGGTATTGTCTGGAAAGTGGCAGATGCAGTTCACTGTAGACAAGTATCAAGTCCTAATCCTTAAAAACGAAAAAAAAAAAAACTTGATGTTATAAACTAGGCGATATAGAGCTTAATTACCCAGAATATGAAAAAGACTTGGCAGTCATTTTAAATAGAAATCTGAAGGCAAGACATGAAGGCTAACAGATTACCTGGATTTATCTCATGAAATATAAGTAACAGGAGTTGAAAAGATATTTTACAGCTCAGTTTTGGTCGCCATGCTAAAGAATGGATATAAATACATTGGAGAACATTCAAAGAAGGATGACAAAATTAATGCACTGTATAAAGAACCTCCCTTAGGAAGATAGATTGAGAACTCTGAACCTTCACTCTCCTGAGAGACCTAGAATGAAGAGAGATATCACTGAAGTATATGAGTGGATGATGAGCGTAAACAAAGGTGATATAAATAAAGAACTGAACATATCGAATCAAGTAAGAGCCAGAATAACTGATTTTAAGTTAGATAAATTTACGTTTAGAAAGGACGCAGGTAAGTACTGGTTTTCAGAGTTGTGGATAGTGGCCCTCTCTGTAATTAGTATTTTATAATATGTAAACCACACAGTGTCCTATAATATGTAAACCCCGCATTGTAATCTTTATAGAGAATAAACTTGATTTGAGTTGATTAGTAGGACAGTCTTTCGAATAGGGTAATAGAGGCTAAGCGTTGGGTAGCTATCCTGAACAAATCCCCTGTGGAATAGTCGCCTAAGGAGTTCATGTTGCTTCCATGTAGTGATGTTGACCCGCCAGGTTCTTGCTAGAAGAAACATAAATGTGTTAACCGTAAATGCGTCCTTGATCAAAGACATCACTATGAAACGTAGCCCCACACCTCTAACTTCCTCAGGTGAGCACTATCCCCTGTGGAGACTGTCCCAAGAAATATGTAGGGGAAACAGGCAGAAATTTTTCAATCCGCCTTAACGCTTGTGTCCCCCACAGGGACTCCATGGGACATTTGATGAAGTAAAATGAGGCACAGCTCGACCTCTCGAATAAGATCTTAGATGTAAACGATGTCTGGAAGCCTCGCAAATCCGTCACAGACACCATAGAACATAATACTAGAAGCTAAAAAAATTCTAAAACATTATCATACGTGATAAACAACCAGACAAAGCGTCACCTACGTAACACAGGAGTCACGTGATCATATTGTTTACCCGTCCTCATCCCAACAAGACATTCTTCAGGTCACCATGCATCACTCACACCTCTCTCCGCCTACATATACTGTCTTTTTAACCTGTGTGTTAGAAGTGATCAAGGTCCCAGGACCAAAACGTTTTCTAATGTGTCCTAGTGTTGCTTACCTGTTTTTCTAAACCAACTTGTCGATATTTATTACTAAGGTTTATACCAGACAAATATATGAGCGAGAAGGGCTGGGGTTGGTTAATTATCACTTGAGGTATTGAAGCAAATTATTAAGTACTGGGAAACCGATGGACAAAGAGGTGGGAGGAAATGATTGATATAGAGAACGACCTGTCTTGTATGGGCCAGTAGGCCACCAGTGTTCTTCCATTTTTAGGTTCTTATGTCTACATGTCAGCATTTGAGTAATATATCATTTTTCACTACTAGACAAAATATTAGTTATGCAGTCTACGAAGTCCCCTATCTCCTCACCGAGAAATAAAAACCATTTGCCTCCACTCACTTTTATCTAACACACACACACACACACACACACACACACACACACACTTGCTGGATGTCTAAGACCCAACACACTAAAACTCCTTTAGCCCTTCCTTCCAACCTTTTCTTGGACGAGTCTATCCCGCCTTCCACTACAGATTTATACGTCCACCAAGTCATATTTTGTTCTATCCTCTCTACTTGTCCGAACCACCTGACCTGAACAGCCCTTCTTCGTCTTTTCTAATCTCCAAGCATAATATTCACACTGTACATTGCTCTCAGACACATCTCCACTGCATCCAACTTCCTTCTCCTTACTGCAACATTCACCACCCTTGCTTCACATCTACATGAGAACATTGGTACCACTATGCTCTCATTCATTCCCCTTTTTGCTTCCATGGATAACGCTCCTTGTTCTTTTTCTTCCTGGTCACTTCTTTGGTTAACCTTGTCTTTCATAGACTCGTCTGCTGACAATTCCACTCCCAAATATCTGAACAAATTACTTGCTCCATATTCCCTCCCTCCAGTCTGATATCCAATCTTGTATTACCTCAATTTTTGTTACCCTCCTTACCCTGCTCTATACAATGTTTGCTTTCAGTTTTCTTCTTTCACACCCTCCTAAATTCGTCCATCAACTTTGGCAACTTCTCTTCAGAATTTCCCTTATACACAGTGACATCAGCAAAGAGCAACTGTGACAACTCCTACTTTGTGTTAGATTCTTTATCTTCCAGTCCCACAAATCTCTCCAACACCCGAACATTCACTTCTATTACAAACCCATCTGTATATTCATTGACCAACAATGGTGACATCGTGTATTCCTGTCTAAGGTCTACTTTTACTGGAATATAACTTCATTTCCTACATACTTTATCTCATTCTCTACAACTTGAGCTTCTCTCTCCTCATTAAAATTCTTAATTGCTTTCAGTAACCTACCACCTAGTCCATTCACTTGCAACATCTGCCACATTCCTCCCCTATCCACTGTATCATATGATTTTTTTCAGAATCCATAAATACAACGAGAACGTCTTTATCCTTATTTAAATACTGCTCATTTAGATGTTTCACTGTAAACACTTGGTCTTCCCATCGCCTACCCATCCTCCTTGTTCATCTGCGATCCTTAATTCTTTTACACACCTTACCAGATATACTCAACTGGCTTATTTCCCTATTCTTACACACACTTTTGTCCTCTTTGCCTTTATGCAGAAGAAGTATGCACGCTCTCTGCAAGTCCCTTGATACATTCTCCTCTTTCATACATTTATTAAATAAAAGCACCAACCACTCCAAAACTATATCTCCACCTGCTTTTAACATTTCTGTTTTGATTCCGTCAATCCCAGCTGCTTTACTCCCCTTTGATTTTACCCACTGTCTTACCTTCCCCACACTCAAATCTGACTTTTCCACACTCCTAAAAGATGCTATACCTCCCTGGCCAATGCCTGAAATCACAGCTTCCCTATCTTCATCAACATTTTATAGTACTTCAGAATATTCCTTCCATCTTCCCAATACCTCCAATTCTCCATCTTATAACTCTCCTTCATTTTATTTTAATTTTCTCAGCAAAATTTGTTGAGTACATCATCCACTTTCTCGTGTTCTCTCCTTCTATATTCCCATACCACTCTCTCTACGTCTCTTTTACTCTCCATTCTCCTTTATATCACTTTGGCTTTGCTAAAACCTCTCATATGCTAACTTTTTCTCTCTTACCTCATCATTTGAAAAGCACTTCTCTCCTGCACCCACCCTTCTATACCCACAAGCTTTTGCACACTCGAACACTTCATTCTTAAATCTACCTCGTACCTCTTCAACCTCATTTCCTATACTCGCTAACCATCCTTTCTACCAATAGTTGCTTATGTCTCACCCTATCTTCTTTATACACCATCACCTCTCTAGAATTACTCGCTGAGACGATTCTCCTTGTACCCCATCTGTCTTGTATTCTCACTGTAAATACAATTGAAAGGTGATCTGATATATATATGTTGCCCCTGTACAAACATGCACACATGAAGTCTACCTATCATCCTTTTATCCACCAATATTTAATTCAACAAACTATTATCTTTACACCTGTTGAATACCATGATTTTCTTGATTATTAATGCTTCACCTTTATTATCTGACTTGCAGACTGTCGAGTGTTTGGGCAGGTGTTCCGGCATGGATCAAGATGGCACGACGGGTGTAGGGAAAAAAGGTGTGTCAGAGGAAAGGTGTGGAAGGACCATCAGCTGGCTCATACGTGTAAGTAAACCACTGAACTGTCTTTATTATGAGAGAGAGAGAGAGAGAGAGAGAGAGAGAGAGAGAGAGAGAGAGAGAGAGAGAGAGAGAGAGAGGGAGAGGAAGGGGGAACATCACTTCAGCTGAGATCATTTATTCCTAGAGTGACTCAAGTCTGATGTCATTATGATGTTCATGTTGATGGAATTATGATGCTCATACATCATAATGACATCAACGAAATAAAGTCAGATGATCAGATGAAAATGCTTGCCCACAGATGGCTCCAACTTCATCCTGTTCCCTACTTGCATGTTTCATAACAATAAAAATGCTTTCAAATGAGCTGATGTAGGTAACAGCTCTTAGCTTGTCAACAAAGTTGGGAAACGTTACCTAACTCTGTAAAACCTTGTGTAAAAAAGAGAGGAAGCTAGTAAGCGAGTGTGTGTACTCATCTAATTGTGGTTGCAGGGGTCGATTCATAGCTCCTGGCCCTGCCTCTTTACTGGTCGCCACTATGTCCACTCTCCCTGTTCCATGAGCTTTATTATACCTCTTGAGTGTGTGTGCTTGTTCTCACAAATCTATGATTGCAAGGATCGAGTCTCGGCTCCTGGTCCTGCTTCATTACTTATCACCAGCTGGGTCTACTTTTAGCCTCGTGGGCTCTGCCATAACTCTTCGTGGTAATGGGACTTTCTAAACACCAACAAGACACTATGGAAGAATGGAAAACTTTATTGAGACAATGCTTCGCTTAGAAACCACTCGTTTTCATTCTTGTTTTTCCAACTTGTCTGGTTTCGAAACTATATATCTGTCAGATACAGCAAGATCTTAGGATCTTGATACAGGTAATTCTGGAATGGCTGTCTAACCTACGGTCATGACTTTAGTGGATTTTTCCACTGGTGACTCCGCCTCCTGCTGCTTCAACTCACCTGTGTATTATATAAGCCACTTTTCCCCGCATATGATGTACATTTCTCAAGATTGATGGACTAAACACGTCGACTCCAGACTGAGAGACTGATTACCTCACACTACTATTAATTTTCCACCGATCTTCTTTGTTTTGGACTGAAGATTCTACTGGCTTGTGAAACTTTTCTACAATAAACGTTACCAAATGTTGCGCAAGTCTCTAATTCTTCAAGTAAAATATTGTTTTAATAAGTTTCCAATTGTCCAGATTACTCCTCAGACAGATTGTATTTTTGATTATATCTGTTCATAAAATTTTGTTTGAACTGTGTTATCTATATCTTCATCCAGGTTATTCCACCTCCAGACCACTTTGATGTTGAAAAAACAACATCTTGACATCTCTGTTACTGTTTTGTATCTTTGACATCCATCTCTGTCCTCTTTTACCCACTTCCTCTCGAGAATACCATCCCTTTCCATCTTATCCAGCGCTTTGTATATGATAATGTTATCACTGGTTCTTCTCTCCTCTAATTTTGCAAAGGTTTTGTCTTCAATCTCTCTTCATGACTCAGTTTCCCTAACTACCCGGCGAATCTTGTTGCAGACTTGTCCACTTTCTTAAGTTCTGTGGCATTTTTTGATGTGTGAATGTCCAGCTGGATCTATAAACTCCAACATGGGACTAACATGCATCGTGAATACGATCGTGACTTTCGTTGTTGAGATTTCTGAAAATTAATCTTAGATTCGATAAATGAGTGTTTGAGGCAAAAGTTTTGTTGACATGTGCCTCTGGCGAGACGCTCGGCGCCTTGCTCAACCAAGATCAATTCTTCTTTATTTGAGCTTTCAGTCCTTGATATTATGCTCACTTTCTGAAATAAATAAATAACAAAAAGGCACAATACCGTGACTGGAACGATACACAAATAACCCGCACATAAAAGACAGAAGCTTACGACGACGTTTCGGTCCGACTTGGACCATTGACAAAGTCAATGGTGTGACTTTGTCAATGGTCCAAGTCGGACCGAAACGTCGTCGTAAGCTTCTGTCTTTTATGTGCGGGTTATTTGTGTATCTCACTTTCTGGTTATTATTTTCCCAATACAATTTTCATTACCTTTATGTTTCAAGTGTTGACTTTCAGTAGTCAGATTGCTCAGGTTCATTTGTTTTTCTTTGGTCTCTTCGGCTTTAAGCCTCTTTATTAAATTCACATCATTTGCAAACAGATTCATCTAACTCAGTCTCTTTTAGAGCTGAACTGTATCAGTAGAGCTGCTCTGTATAATGTGAGAACATATTAATGAGCTCTCTGTAACGGCGCCAACGATGTATTCTCTGGAGCAGCTTTACCAGCAAGTGAAGTTGGAAGAAACTAAGAGAAAGATACTGTTACTGATGAGGGAAAATAAGAGAATTCATGACAGTCCTCCCCAGGTGAATTTTCTGGACAACTAAAGAAATGATCAGCGGTGTAGCGAAAGGAACGAAGCAAATTAAAAGGAAGGATAAAGAGTTTGAAAGTGTTAAAAACTTTGCATTGATCCATGATGAAAGTAGGATAACCAACGTAGCAACTGACAGAGAAGGCAGTAAGAGGAAGGATCACACGTCACAAGTCATCAGTGAAGATTAGTTTGTCGTACTTGTTAGTTATTCTCACGTAAGGTACATGAATAGGCCATTTTGTCTTAGAGATTGAAAGAGGTTGTAGAGGATGTGTTTTTCCGTGGCTGAGGTGCTAAATATCGTTAGTTGTCCTGACAATATCTTGAATGATAATGGGATCAGTCTTATTTTCTGCCTCATAGCTGGAGGCAATGATGCGGGAAAACCTAGGAGTGAGGACCTTTTCAACAGGTATTGTTTAGCGATATATATAATTAAGAAGGAGGGATGCCATGTAATTTGTGGCATTTTGCCGAGAAGGGGCGTTGTAAAATGATTGGATGCCCATAGAAATTGATGCTAATTGCTGGTTGGACAAACACCAAAATATTTCAGTATCATTTATTGACAATTGCAACCACTTCTATGGTAGAAATGATGCATATGACGGGGATGGGGTCAACTTATCAAAGCCTGTAGTGGCAGCATTAGCTAGCACAGGGCAAGGATCTGTAAGGTCTATAAACTTGAAACAGTAAAAGGTATCGGTTGTTAGTTTAATTAGTTTAATATCTTTATTATGCACCCCATACCCATCCTGTGGGTGGTAGTCAAAACATTACAAAGGTACATAATGATAGCTGAACTAGTTATAAAGGTAATGAACTCCAGGTAGATCTGGTCACAATCATGGCAAGTTACGGTTGTTGGGATGAAAAGTTGAATATGGCTCTATACAACTGGGCAGTGTTGATAATCAGTGTTGCAATATTGTGGATTTTTGGGATGTCAATATATAGGAGGACAGGAGTTGAATTAGTGATCGTTTCTGACTATGGCAGTTAGATGGTAGTGGGTGATAAGGGCAGCAGCAGAGGTGTTAGTGGGGAAGGGATGAGCATGAAGTAGACACCGAAGACGGGACAGCTCAGTATGTATTAAGCAAATAAATAAAAAGCTTGAGACAGTGGATGAGCTGCACGTATAGGTAGTGTTGATGTTTTTGCAGTAACTGAGATATGATTTAATTTGAGGAGTCGATAAGCGCCTGCGATATAAATGAAGAAAATGGGGTGAGATGATGATTAAATTGCTACATGAAAAGAAACACAAAAACTGTCTGGCTAGGATTTTTAAAGGGACATGAAAATTTTATCTTATGTGATATATCGTCTCCCAAACATGGACAGGAATCAAAGGAAACTTTTTTGGAAGGAACCTGTTAAAGCTTCAAGACAGGATAATGTTGTAATTCTAGAGTATTTTGACGCTAGTCAGATTGTAATAACCATGACTGTGAATCTAGATTCAAATGACTTCCTAAGTGTTAATCCAGGAGTAATTTTTAGAACAGTTCGTTACACAACGAAGGCAAATAATCTGCTTAACTTGATTCTGGCAACAAGGAAACCACTGTTAACTAGATGTATTTTGAGCGCTCCTTGATCCGAGAAAGGTTTTCCTGCATTATATAACCCTTGTCCCCAGTGCCTCGGTGCATGCGATGGGAATAGTGGAAAATGGATCTTAATAATGGTATACAATGCCGACAAGTTGGTAAGTAAGACATATACATCAGTTAGTTATCTTTATTTCCAGACGTTTTAATTAAAGAGTAAACTTCTTCAGTCGAATACAGAGGAGCAGAAGCATTATAAATGTAAAACCGTTGTAGTCAGTCAAATCACCCTCGAGAACGTGGTTTTGAGGTGGTCAGTCCCTCATCCTGGAGAAGTTTTTTGCTCCAAAGTCTTAAAGCGAAGCTGAAGCGAGACTCGCGTATATACTGACAAAGATGAGGCACAGATAATCTTAACGACAGGAGAGACGGAGCCCACTAGCAGAAGTAAGAATGTAATCAATGAGAGAATGGGCAGGTCGCTCTTAAATCCATTCCTTCTCACTTGCAACTATTGGTCAAGCAAAAAAATCATCGAAGATAGTTTCTGTACCAAGACAACATTGTGTTAGTGTCTGACAGAGTGATTATGATAATGGTATACAATACCGACAACTTGTTTAGTAAAACATTTCTTCAACTATTAGGTACCTTTATTCCAAAAATGTTTCTCATATACAGTAGACTTATTCTAGGAGTAACATCGGTCATGAATTTCAGCAGTGTTCATGAACTGAAGAGAAGAAATTGACAAAACCACATTCACTTAGAGCACATTTCCAGGTGTTATCCTGACTCTTGTCAGTGCTACAACAGCTGTTGTAGCTACAACAGATAATCACAAAAGATAATCACAAGAGATAATCACAAAATTTACTCCTGTCACAGTTAATATGCACACTGTGTGTGTGTATATATATATATTTGTGTGCATATATACAGGGCCGGATTAAGAAGTCTCCGGGTCCTAGGCTATTCAAATTGGCGGGGCCCCTTTGAGTTACGGGTAAGCGAAGCGACCCCTTCCAGCTTGGGGGTGGGGGGGGGGGGTCGGTGTGAGCCTGTTTAAGGTCTAAT